AGCTTCGGGTCTCCTCCTTATTTTTCGGATTTCGAAAAGACGTGATGGTCGTCACTTTCTCCGGATCAACATTAATTCCCTTGTCAGATAAAATGTGGCCTAAAAATTTCAAACGATTCGTTTTCCAAACACATTTTGAATCGTTTAGCAAGACATTATTTTCCTTAAATATTGATCGGACTTCCGTGACGGTTTTGTCGTGTTCTTCTTCTGTTCCGAAAATAATGATATCGTCTATATAGTTTAGGACCTTGGAACAAGGCGCTAACAGTTCTTCGAGCCGCCGTTGGAATATCTCAGGAGCTGAATTTATTCCGAACATTAAACGCTTGTACCGGAACAACCCCTTTGGCGTTATGAATGTTGTTATCTGTCGGCTCTCCTCATCCAGTTCTAATTGGTGGTATGCATCCTTTAAATCAATTCGCGAAAAATATTTTGCTCCTTCCAACCTAGTCATGAATGACTCAAAAGTTGGCAGTGGGTAGTGTTCCCTTTTTACTGCTTTATTCGCCATCCGCATGTCCAGGCACTTACGTATATCGCCATTTTCTTTAAAAACTACCACGATTGGTGAGATCCAAGGGCTATGGCCGTGCACTGGCTCTATAATGTCGTTGTTTAATGCTTCGTCCAATTTAGCCAAAACCTTATTCTCGACCGCAACTGGGATGCGTCTCATAGGCTGTTGTACGGGTCTCACTTTCGGGTCAATTAAAAGCTTGACCGTCACTCCTTTCCACTTGGGAAACGGGGTAATGCATTCCATTCGATTTACTTGCAATCCCAATGCGAGGACCTTCAATTGTATGGCGGTATCTCGGCCTAATAGTGATTGTGTCCCATTTTCAATTACATGACTACCTCTGTGTTTGAGCCGACTGATATGGGAGCCTCAAAAACACAAATTACGCTGAGCAATTTGTTTGAGGCGTAGCCACGAAACTGTCTCTCTGAATTTGATCTGATGTTGAAGACTACTGCTTTGTTTTGTTCCATTGACAACCAATCCAATTGACTGATTAAATTAAAACGGGATCCTGAGTCAATTATTAGTGAAACAAGTTGGCCACCGATGTAGCAATCAATGAATTCATCGTCTTCACCATCACTATAGATACGGAAACAATTATCTTTCGTTGCCTTTACTTCAGAATAGGTATCTGCATCTTGAACCCATCGTACGTGTGACCGTACTCGCTTGGCGCCATTATTATTTGGCTGTGTGTACTGGCGTTTGAAACTTGTTCTGCATTTCCGGGCGAAATGTCCGATGCGAGTGCACTTGTTGCACTTAACCTGCCGTGCAGGGCATGTGGCGTTATCATGCGCGTGCCCGATGCGACCACATCTGCCACATTCGGTTTCCTTTTCAGAGTTTCGGTTGAATATCTTATTTATTGTCTCTTCCGATTTGGCTAGCATCGATTTGGATTGCTTACTAATTTCCTCGTCTACTCGACAAGCTTCAATGATTTCAGCCAACGTGTGTTCTTTTTCCAATAGTTTTTTCTTTAATTGAAAGGAAGTCCAGGAATCCATAATTTTATCTTTTAAACAAATCTCTTCAATTTCGGCCTTTGTGGTTCCGAAACAGCATTTCTGCATTTGCTGACGCAAACGGACAATAAATTTCGCAAAACTCTCGCCCTCCAAAGGAGAAAGGCTCCTAAACAGATGCCGTTCGAAGGTTGAGTTTTGCTTTGGCGAAAAAATAATCATTTAGTTTATTCACCAACACCAAAAATACATCAGTCTGTTTATCCTCGTCTGGATCGATCAAAGCATCGGGCAACGAATAAGCGACCGTTTGTAACTCAACGCCTCCCAAGTGAAGTAATTTGCTCCGTCTCTTACTGGGTGTTTCAATGTCCTCTGCGTCGATATATATTTTGAATGCCCGAAGCCATTTTTCCCACTCGCTCCGCAATAAAGACCTTTCTATTGTTTCACAAAGAAATGGTTTAATAATATTTTCGCACATCTTGTTATTTATTATCTGAAAGTAAAAGAAAAAAAAATTTTTTTTTTTTTTTAACTTTTATTAGGGCTAACTGCCTCTGACCGTGTCAGCTTGTGTTTTCGGCTAACTGCCTCTGACCATGTCAGCTTATGATTTGGCAAACTGCCTCTGACTGTGTCAGCTTATGATTTGGCTTACGGTTTCAACCGTAACCAATAATTCGATTCAAAATTATTTTCATTTGTTTTAACTTGAAACTAACTGTTCCTCAGTTAATTATTTCGCATTTCTGTTTTGCGTTTTCCTCTGCTCTTTTACAATAATTCTCATGACTTGCAACTTAGTGTCACTCAGTCCCTCTCTTAAGTGGAGCTATGTATTCGTTTTTGCCTTTGAATCAAAATTCTCTTTTTGACTCAATTGACTTTGTTTCGATGTATTCTCGAATTCACGAATTCCTCTGTCATTCCCACCATTCGGCAACGAATGACCGAAAGGAAGAAACAGAAGGACTGTTCTTGCAAGTCACACATACATGCGCACTAAAATACTGCAATGCCAATAAAACTATTTTCATTTGCAGCCATTCCTCTTAAATGTATGTTTAGAATTCACCAATTATAGGTCTCTGTTTTACCTCGTCGCCAATGTAATAACTCACAAAATGGATATCTCTTAGCAATAAAAACACGTTTATATTCCAAACTGAATTCACTCTTTTTATTCCGAGACCACACACTGTTGGTTTGCTAGCGGTATATATTAGACTGCCCGCATTCCTCATGCCACGTTGTTAGGGTTCCCACCTTCGGATCCGCTGCTGTAGGGTTCGATATTTGCAGCGGGTTGCCACAGTAAGTATAAAAATTACGTGTGTACAAAAATTAACTTAAAATCTAATTTCAGGCGCGGCCAGTAAGCCACATAGAGATTTCGGCTACTGGTCGCCGCGTAACAAATCGGGACAGAAAGGTGTGGGGATGGCTGTCCGGTGATCGGTACCACGCCTTGCCGCCGACCGCGGTGGTATGGATGCCGCGTGGTGAAGGAGCCGCGTCGTGGTCGCGACGCTGCGCTGCACGGGTTCTACGTGCCCGGAACGGACTCACCGAGGTAATGGGTATTTTCTATTGGTGATCGTGGAGGTTGCGGCAGCCTGCGGCGGTTGCTACTGCACGTGGCTGCTGCCGGTCGTAGTTGCTGCTGCCTTTGGCGGACACTGCTGCCTGTGGTAGTTGCTGCTGCCCGTGGCTGGCTACTACTGCCGGTGGCCGTTGCCGTTGCCTTCGGCTGTTGCTGCTGTTGGTGGCTGTTGCTGCTGCCACTGTCGGTGGCTGTGCACTACCTGTGCTGTGTGCTGCCTGTGGCTGGCGGGTTACCACGAGCTGTGGCCTGCTGCCTTCCTCCGAGAGGAAAATATGGGAAAATGAAGAAAATAGAAGAAGCTGCCGGGCCCTAGGTAATAGGGTCCCCGGTGAACCCAAAAGAAATAAACCTTCACTTTATTCCCAAATTTCACTAACACTTGTTGACACTCTTACTTTTCTCGAATTATAATAAACTAAAAGAAAATTAAAAAATTGAATACTTGGCTTCGATCTTCGGCAGCAACTAAAACCTATCCCTGACCTACGCAATGTCATTCGCCATGTTCCCTTTTGCTCTCCCAAAAGTAGGCCATTGGACGAATCCAAGGCTATCCTAGCCATACCCAGAGCGAACCGGGCTAGTTTAAATAGCTAGATAGCCAAGGGCATCAGCCGAAGGGGTCGCCACTTCAGTAGGGACTGCCACCGACATAACTTTATCGATAGCACCACCAAAATTACCTCCTTCTTATTTCTTCCAGCCGATTCCAACTTGAAATGCAACAGTATCTCTTTGCTTTTGGGCTTGACAAACGTTCACCCAAAATTAATTTTAAGTTGTTGGCAACGCGATATAATATTTTGGTATTTTTCAGGTACTGGTGTGAAAGAAGGACCTGAAGAAAAGAGTTCAATAGCTGTTTGCATGTCGCACCCCCTCATGGCTAGCGAATAGATTTCGTTAAAAAAATAAATACAAGTCAAAAGAGAATAAAAACAATGTTGCCGAACCAGAGCACCGTCCAGAAACAAAAAAAAATGTCGACAACATAACTATATAAATACAGTGATATTTATTCGACTCGAACCCAAAAATCGTACTGTATGAGCTAGAAATATTATTTTAGTTGTATGTTTCTAGCTGAACATAAAATGAAAACCTTGCTTTTTTAAAAAAACTACTTAATTTGTTATTTAAATATACAGGTATGGTCTAACCAGACTTTCGAAATGCTTCCATATTATAAAGTGCCAAATAATATATTTATAAAAAAGAAAAGAGTTCCCGTTTGTTTTCCTGAAGTTTTTTCTGTACAAAAGCAGCATTTTTTTATAAACGGTAAAGCGCCAATTGTTAAATACCAAATAACTGATGATTCACTATGTGTCTTCAATATGCTACCGGGTGGCATTAACAAATTTTACTTTCAAGAAACCGCGGACAGATTAAAACTTTCCTAAAAGTATGTACGATTGCTACCTAATTTATTTATTCAACTAAACATAAGCCTTCTAAAAGACGTAGGAATTTTGTAAAAGTAATCATTGAATTTTTATTTGGTTCGTGTCTTGGGTAACGAACTGGTTCACATAAAGTAGAGGGCGTCATTTCCTCAGCCCACTGTAATGTAATTTTCTCGAAAACTGTGGATACAATTTTCATTAAACTTATAAAGTTAGTTCTGTCTACTATTAACAGATCTTTATATAATATATTTGGATTACCTGCCCAAATAGCGAAAAAAAATTAATAAATAAATATACGGTGGAATTTGTTTTCATTTTTCTTCTCATTATGAAAATAAATAAATTTATAAAAACAGTCCTCACGTTTCATATACTACGGCTCCACAATCGCCGCTAATTCGGACCACATTACAACGGAAAACAATCGTTCTAAACATCGATTATGTTTATTAGGAAATCGAAAATTGATTTCATCGATCATTCAAACATCATTTTTTTCATCTCTAGCGAAAACTATTTTAAAACATCTGGAATTATCGTTTCAAGCTTCAACAGCAATGGGCAATGAAGGCAGCAAACTAAAAGGGTTAATTATTGAAAAAAATGCAGTGGAGGTTAATGATTTTTGGACGCTCTATAACGCACAGTTACCGACGACATCCAATGATGAAGGTTGCTGCCAAAGGCTGTCGGTATTTCAGGGCGAAATCTTCGTCAAGGGACTGCTGTGGTCCAATGGAATGACCCCAATAGAAAGGGCAATAAAAGTATACTTATAGTAAACCGGAAAACAACTACTCACTGAATGTCTCCCTCTAGAATCTAATGGTCTACCGTCACCCATACATATTAAAATATGTAGCTACTTGGGACCAGTCAGGACAGAAGCATCTTGCAACGGAGAGGGTCAGACCTTTAAACGAGGTATTGGCACAGCAGACCAACATTGAAATCTGTCTCGGCCTGCGGACGATATTATGCAGCTTAATATTTTTAATTGAGACGGCCCTGGCTAGACACTTAAACATTAATACGCATTCCATTTACGTGACGGACAGTGGCAGCTGGAGACTGGCTGGCTTCGAATACGTTTGGAGAGCGATAGAAGTCGACAAACAGCTGCTTGACGTGGCACGTTCCTTTATTAATCCCAACATTCCCGGAGAGAACTGCGAGCAGTTTTCCTTTGCCTTTCTCTGTGAGCAGGTGCTGGATAGAAGTAAAAGTGAGAGAGGTGATGGGGATGACACTCCGCATGCCAAGGAGTTCCGTGAGTACTGCAGCACTCACTTAAAGCACCAAAATACAAACCTAAGACCCAGACTTTCGGCCATCCTGCTACATCCTTATTTCAACCACGAATTCGTGCTTATACATTCCTTTCTGTTCGAATTGCCGTTGAAGTCCGTGCAAGAACGTCAGCAGTTCTTCGGAAGTTTGATTGAACGCCTACGATGCTTCGACGAGGAAGTTGTTGCCTCGCAGCTGGCGTGTGATCTGCTCTCTAGAATGGTTCTGCTGGATCCTGCCGCACAGAAATTCGTGACTCCCCATGTACTCCGTACGAAAGTAACAGATAAAGCGACGGCGTCGTTGTTTTCTCCGCAGACCTACGTTCAATATTTAATGCCACACATACTCAAGATGTTTCGTCTGCGTGACGCCCAGATCCGTTTGATACTCCTGGACTATTTTATTGACTATATTCATCTTTTAAGTGACGAACAACTACAAAGTGAGATTCTCCCGCATTTGCAACTTGGTATGAGCGACACCAACGACGTTTTAGTGGCTCAAACGCTTAGGTGCATGGCGGATTTGGTTCCCATACTGGGAGCCAATAAAGCTTTGGGCGGGGATGATCGGCGACGATGGTTTTCTGATGGTCGCCCGCATGCTGCTGTCTCCGCCGTTAGCTCGAATTTCATCCCAGAGCCACGATCCATTACTCCCCTAATAAACACAAGATCCTTCGAAGTAGAAGACGACTTTATGGTCTCTGGAAGTCCCTTGCCCGCCGAAAGCATAGAGCCTCCCTTATCCATCCGCCTTAGTCCAGACGGTGGGGAAGACGAGAAGGGAGGTTTAAATTTAAATGAAAAGTTGCGGGGTGTCAGTCACAATAGTGACCCCGAGACTAACTCAAACGGCTCTCCCACAGGCCTTAAAAAAACCTTAGACATCCTGGATGAAGAGGCAGTTTGGTCTGATTGGGATACTACAGACGAGCTTCATCGCTTACACATTAATGGAACAGAACTAGACGATCAGGTCGAGCACGATTTGGAATCCAATGACAGTGCACCAGGTGGAGCTAATCTAACTTCATTATCTGACTCTTTTAACACAGACAACTTAAACCTATCCCTCGAAGTAAAAAAACCACTGTCGAAAACGGATCATAAGTTTATCGATGATCTTAGCGCGCTGGATATACAAGTGCAATCGGTGTCCAAAAGCTCAGAGTTAAGTGAGTTTGACTTCTTTAAAGACATGCAACCAGTTATTGAAGCGAAGACTAGTAGAAGTGAGGACGCGGAGCTGATCAACAGCCGTTTCGCTGCTGCTGCACTCACCGCCCACAGCAATGTTTTGGATGCTGCAGCGGATCAGGGTTGGGGCCACGAAGAGCAAGATGAAGACGACATTGTCTGGGGCACGAAAGCATAATTAAGGTTTTAGGACGGAATCATACAAACAGTATGATAATCCTGATTATGCTGTAAAGACTTTAATTTAACTGTAAACTATTCAATAAAGTGCTATAATTATTGTAAAGTACATTTATAAGCATGTTTAGTTATTTTTAAATAGGTTTCCATTTCTTCGCATGTTTTTTAAAAGTACTGGTAAAAATGCCGTGTTTAAGCAAAAACATTTTAAAATGCATTTACTCTTAAAGATTTTTCATTTATCATTTGACTAAAATATTTTTTATAACTCAAAAATCGATCGTAAAATCCAGAAACGAAACTATTAGGGAAAAACAAAAATTGTACACTAACTAATTTTTACTTTAAAAAAGATTTAATATTAAAAAAAAATTATAAAAATTCTATAAATTTCATTTTACTCATGATTTTATTTCTGTTTTCTTATATTTAAAAAAGTTTTATTTATGCATAATTTTTTGTATGTTTGCATTTTAGCATATCATGCTTATCTTAATCAAAGATCTTAGTAACCGTAATTACATTATTAAATTTAAACAAGATCAGCTGAATATGGTTTCTTTTCATTCTAAACACATACAAATCGCATAAATCGGAGACAAATTATGTTATATTTAATTTAAAGTGAGCTGCACTCGGCTGTTTTTTTTTACAATATGCGAATTGGGAGTTTAGGAGAATCAGTAAACAATTTTAAAATATGTATAGCTTTAATAAAAAGGAGAGCTTAGCGAAATGTATGAGACTTTTGTATGAATCTCACGTCATTAACATCCTCATTAATTGTGAAAGAATGTACAAACTAAGAGTAGTTGTAAACAACAAATATTTAAAAAAAAAAGCACGCATTCCGATTAAGTATTATACTTTTTTTTCACTTTTTCTTACGTCTGGTTCGCTCTCCTATTTGTTTATATTTTAACTTAGATGATCTCTCTCTTGCTTGTTGTTTTTAGGTTCATGTGTTTGATTGTGGATTTGTGATTTTGTATGAAAATGGTATTGATTTATTTTATTGTTTCAATGGATTGACTTTCTATTAGACAGACGAAGCAACACACATTGCAACATTTTCAATTCAGCTCCTTGTCCTCTAAGTACTTGTATTCAAAGGTGAATCCCTCCTTCTTTCGTTGACTCCACTTTTCGTAGTCAAAATAGATGTACGTACCCTGTGAATGGTGTTTATCTTTATTAGTAGCTAGCTCTTCCTTATAATAAGTTGTCTAGTTTACCTGTTCGTAATCATCGTTGATAATTTTGGGTTCCTCGTGTCTTTGAAACCACATCATGTACTTGGTGTGAAAACGCCAGCTCTGCTTTTTTAAGGCCTTAGCTGCAAGATATTGGGCTTTGGTTCCCTCCATGTAATAGAATACAAAAAACAGCGTCTCCGTTGAGAGTCGTTGATAGAATTCAACTGTATCATATATTGGCAGCTGTGCCTTGATTGAAATATTTATTAGATAAGGTAATCCATGCAAGATGTAAGCCTAATAAAAATAACTCACCTGTGGATAATGCGCCGGCGTGGGAACTGGCGCGCGATGAAAGTACGTTTGTAGCTTCTCCGTGTCCATAGGCTGTGGCAGGTGATAATAGGCAGCTTCCATCATCTGAAACTGAATTTGATGCTCCTTCTGGAGTGGCGTTGGCCCTAATGGAGTTACTCCAAGCAACGTGGGAATGTGCGCTTCCGTAGTGGCCATCTGCTGGTGTTGGCACGAATGCACTTTGGCATTGGCGCTGTTTGGCTGACCTGCAGCATTTGCAAGATTCATAAGCCCACTGCCAGTTGTAGGACCATTACTGGTTGCAGCGGCATGTGCCGCTGTCGTAATTGAACCGATCGCAGCCGCGGCAACCGTGGTAGTTTGGAGCTGTTGTTGTTGATGCTGTGATGCCACTTGCTGCTGCTGTTGATTGGCAGTGTTTTCTGAGCTGAAACTCTGTTGGAGGAGTGATTGCTGCGTCTGCTGCTGTCTTGTGTCAACGTTGCTTGTTTGCTGCTTATTTAGTGAATTAGTATCGATCGCGGATCGATCAATGGCTTCCTGTGCCATAGTTTTTAGAGAAATCGTATCGACGAAACTGCTGCTGTTGTCACTAGTATGTTCCGAGACAGGCAGCCCTGCAAAATGTTATTATCGGTCAGTTTAGATAGTGACAAATGCAATTTTTTCATTGCATAATATGGCGATTCTTATGGGTTGTATTTATGAAATTATAGGTAAACCCCTTTTACATGAGTTGAGTTTTCCTGCAATTTTGAGTTCCTTTAGTTTGAATCATTAACACACAATTATTTAAATGGACGTGGTAACGCCTTTAAAAAAAATAATAAAACATTTTTGTTGCCTAGAACATGAAAAAAAATTGTTTGTTTTAATTTTGTATATAATGAAAAACAGTGAAATTAAACCAAACAAAAATGGCTCTTTGAAATGAAGACGTAGCATTGTTTTAAAACAAAATTAATTACGAAAATAGAGATAACATTACACCCTTACGTCGAAGCATAAATATTAAAACACATGCACAACAAGTATATATATTTTATACCAACATTCATTCAAGGTTAATGAGTTTCTGGCTCGCTACTGTTTGATCATAATTTTCTTCTTTAATTGCTGTTTTAATTGCAGTTATTACAAACTACATTTCGAGTTCTATGCCTATATTTACTAATTTATTATTTTGCCATAGTTTCTATTGCAGCTATATGATATTGTTGTACGATTTTGACAAAACTAAAATCGTAATTCTGATATAGTAGAGGAATATTTTGATAATCTATTTATTTACAGCAAAAAAATGTATTTTTTTTTAATTTTTTGATTTTCATATGGGAGCTGTAGATGTCCGATTTTAATTTAACTAAAAATTAAAATTAAAATTCTATGGTATTTAAATATTACCCAAAAAACAAAAAAAAAATTAAACAAAGTTTCATTTTTATACCCTTGCAGAGGGTATTATAATTTTGGTCAAAAGTGTGCAACGCAGTGAAGGAGACATCTCCGACCCTATAAAGTAGATATATTCTTGATCAGGATCACCTCCTGAGTTGATATAGCCATGTCCGTCTGTCCGTCTGTCTGTTTCTACGCAAACTAGTCTCTCAGTTTTAAAACTATCGAATTGAAACTTTGCACACTCCCTTCTTTCCTTTGCACGCAGCATATAAGTCGGAACGGCCGGGATCGGCCGACTATATCCTTTAGGTGACATATAACTGATTAATCGGAAATGCCATAACTTTGGTGTTTGTTAGGAAGTTGGGATTTTCTATGGGTTTTATATTTGGCTAATCAATCTGACCTACCAAATTTCATAACGATCGGCCGACTATATCCTATAGCTGCCATATAACTGATTGATCGGAAATGCCATAACTTTGGCAAATTTCATAAGGATCGGCCGACTATATCCTATAGCTGCCATATAACTGAACGATTGGAAATGCCATAACTTTGGTGTTTTTAAAGTTAGGAATCATCATATGAATAATTTTGGTGAATAGAATTTACAGAGTGTTCTGCAAGGGTATATTAACTTCGGCTCCGCCCGAAGTTAGCTTTCCTTTCTTGTTTTAAATTTTTTTCCCGATTGTTCCTATGGGAGCTCTATGATATAGTCGCCTAATCGGGCCCGTTCCGACTTATTTACTACCTGCAACTTTTGGAAAAGTTTTCAGCAGATAGCTTTAAAACTGACTAGTTTGCGTAGAAACGGACGGACGGACACGGCTAGATCGAATCTCCTGGTGATGCTTCACTGCGTTGCAAACTTTTGACTGAAATTCTAATAATTTATTTATAATAGTTCTATGGTATTTAGGTATTACCAAATCCCAAAGAACAAAAAAAAAATTAAAACAAAGTTGCTCTTTTTTTTAATTTTTCCGATTGTTCGTATGGGAGCTATATGATATAGTCGCCCTATCCGGGTCGTTCCGACTTATATACTTCCTGCAGTAGAAAGACAACTTTTGGGAAAGTTTCAAGCAGATAGCTTTAAAACTGAGGGACTAGTTTGCCTAGAAACGGACAGACAAACGGACGGACGGACGGACATGGCTAGATCTCCTGGTGTCTGAAATGTCTGCTTCACTGCGTTTCAAACTTTTGACTGAAATTATAATACCCTCTGCAAGGGTATAAAAATAGACATCGCCAATACATTTTATTTTTTTGATTTGGAAGTTTATGAGTACAGATACAGTGGCCCTTACCACACCAAACAGTTTTTGTTACGCGCAGCTTTTCCCCTTGGGCCGTAAAAACGATATCGTATGAGGTGAAACAAGGACAATAAAGAGACAGACATTAATTATAATTTCGTGTTAAATTATATAAAATATACGCTTTTAAGATTAAGTTATTTTGAACAGTTTCTATCTGGCCTATATGTATAACACATTGGGGACGCCAAAATCAACATGCATGATTCTAGTCAACGCACAACCACCCACCGTATACGTGGTATTCTAAAGTTTGTCTCAAAAAAATGTGCATTACTTTGCATTTTTTTTTTTTTGAGATTTAAGTTTCGTTTATTCCGCTAATATACAAACAATTTAAATATGAAATGGTTAGTGATGATGCTCACTCTCACTACTCAGCAACAGCAGGACGCAGGATAACATTTGCGATCATAATTTTGAATCGAAAGATCTGCAAAATATAAAAATAAGCACCGTACTCAATCATTTTGAGCAGCGGCATATTTGAATTAAAGAAATGTTCGAAGAATAAAGTTTCGCTCCTGTTGTCAACCTCGGCTTTGGGAATTAAACACTATACGCATTCGTAAGCACTATTAAATTCAAAAAGATTACCACATTGCGTACATAGGGACACGCGACGTTGCCAAGAAGAATATTGTTGAGAAATAATTTAAAAAGAAGGAGGCCAGGTTTAAGACACAACATGTCTCCTTCACTGCGTTGCAAACTTTTAATAGAAATTCGAATACCCTCTGCAAGGGTATAGATGTAGATGCACTTTGTTTGATAAATTAAAATCTGCAGTCTAATTTCCATGCAAAAATGTTAGGTTATTTTTTTTTAGAACAGGGATAAAACTTTAAATGCAATTAAATTAAATATGTTAAATTTTTACAAAACAGTCAAAGTCTTTCCAGTCCGTACTGCAAGCAGTGTTGTTGAAGTCGGCTTCCTTCTGCTCTAAGTAAGTTTCGATTTTTATATTTTTTGAGAAAAAACTAATTTAGTACTGACAAGTTTTATATGTTTAAATCTAATCGGATGAAACTTAGCAAAAAGTCTTATTTCTGTTACAGGTAGTATAAGCATATAGCTCCCATAGGAACAAGAAAGGGAAATAAAATTATAACGGCATTATTTATATGCCGATATTCTCCAAAATAAAGTCATTTGGAAAAAATTGGGCTTATATAAAAATGGGGCGACTATATCATAGCTGCACTGAAACGATCGGAAAATCGACTTAGCTTCATTGTTTTTAAACATCGAAATCAAGATATAGATATAACTCAAAAACCTAGAAAGGTAGCTATTTGATAACTCAGGACAACAAAAAATAAAAGTTACCGGCTTATCCTTACAAAATAATGTTAGTATAGACATATATTACATATTTGTTTTCCAGAAGTGTTGGATTGGTTTACAACATAGATGTTGATTAAACAATATGCCGAAAATGTTTCTATATTGCGCAAAAAAACTAATTCAATCTAACCCTAATTGTCAGAAAGTAGGATGTAATACTGACCTGTATATTTGGGACGGATCGGAAAATATGCTTAACCAAAAGTGTTCTGCAACCTCCTTATTCAATTTCTTTGCTTTTGGGTATCTGGTCTAGCGAAATCGGTCTCTTACTGACCGCTCTACTAGCAGAACTCTACTAGCAGAACCGTTTGGCGTTCGGCTGTAGGCGTCAATCAGCAAAACAAGAGAAGATTCACTATAAAGGGTCACAGGATAAGGGGGCGCTAATTTGTGTATATATGCGTGCGTTACCGATCGTTACGCACATACATACCCAAAGGATCGTTTCCCGAATTTTTCCGAAAAAAAAACGAAAATTGTTTAACCCTTTTGACCCCAACTTATTTTGTATAGCTTGAATTTTATTTATTTAAAACAAATTTTAAAGTTGCGACGCTTATTAATTAGGGTGCTGCCGAAAGTTAAATGTGGGTATAATGGTGGTATATTAAAGATTGGTTTTTTTTTAAAACCAAAATGTCTCCTTCACTGATTTACAAACTTCTAACCCATTTTATAATACCCTCTCAGCTGTGCTTGAAGACAATCCATGTATATAAGATGTATTTATTGACGCATGCTAAATGCGCTGTATTCGTTGGTAGAGTTCGAGATTATATTAATCTGCGGAGTGGACACACGTGGTCTAGTAAACACAGAAATGGAGCTCTAGATTAGTGGTTTATTTTTGGTGTACTAAAACAACTAACTGAAGCGTCCATGTGTGCTTATTTGATGTTTTTATACCCGTTACTCTAGTAAAACTAGTAAAAGGGTATATTGTATTCGTGCAAAAGTATGTAACAGGTAGAAGGAAGCGTGGCATTTTGCATGTAGATTTTAGGAGTTCCTAAGCAGCGCAAGTTTGCGCCACGCCACCTCTGACGCCCACAAGCCGCAAGCTGTGGCCACAGTTTTCATGCTATTATGAAAATTTGTTTCGTCAATACCTATCGATTGGCCTAATAAAACTTTGCCACGCCCACTCTGACGCCCAAAAACCCATTTAACGCTTAGCCTGGCTAGCTCCTACATTTCCGCCTTTCATGGCCCGTGGTTCCAATGTCTTGGGGTAGATGGCGCAATACAATAGCGCCATCTAACGGATGACTTTGGAACAGCTGGCCAAGGTGCTCAACAGAGTCAACGTTAATTCTCGATAAGGATTTCTATTAAAGAAATTGCGAAGTTGTTTCGAGGCACTCGACTATAGCGTTCTCTCTTGTTTTGTATGATTTCAATCTTACTGATATATCTTAGTCCTCTCTTACTCACTTACTTTTTTCCACACATTTATCTGATTGTTGATTGACTCTTGGATCTACTATTTCAGCAAATAAGCTTAATTTATAACTCCCTAAATAGGAAATAAGTTC